TCGTATGTACGTCTGCACTCGCGTCGCATTCATTCTCCAGCAGACGATAGAGCGAGCGAGAGAGAGAGCAAGAGAGAGAGAAAGAGAGAGAGAGAGAGAGAGAGAGAGAGAGAGAGAGAGACATTCATAATACATTCATGGGTCCACGTTTACGCAAACACTCTGAACAGGGCATGATATTGAGTTATCAAAATAAAGACAACATATAGCTGTGACGTAACGTTGCTATCATGTGTGCAAACACTCTAACCATCGCATATTGCCATCGTCACTATAACGTAGATGATAGACGCGCCATTCTGAAAGCCAGTTAAGTGTGTAGACGTGAAGCTAAATAAAGAATTTAGTAATAACAAAACTTCATGACATTGTATAGAGTAATGAGTATAGTGTACAAATAGGAATAATTGAATATGCCACGGAGGATGCTAAAGTAGCTAGCCTTGGATCAGTAGATGTTGTAAATGGTAGCAGGTCTACTTACACATACACGGGAACTTGACCAAATAAAACGTCGTCATGAACGGTGATAGACAGGAAGGAAAGCATTTGTCATCATTGCATTTGAACTCGCTCTGAAAACCTTACGCAGAAATTCATTCATGAATGAAGTGTGAAAACTCTGGAGCGATTAGCCGCTGCAATTCTCGCAAAGAACTGTTACGTTTGAGGTGCAACAGATTACATAACGCTGCATCACACTTTTATCTCTAAGAACGATAAATCGTCATTAATTAAGTCGCGGTATCGACTCTTCAGTTTCAATATCGCCGCGATGCGGTCGTAACTTTCACCTCTGTAACGATCCCGCCGCGCCGTGCGCTCGCCCAGCTCGATTTCCGCTCCGGGAGTCCGTCCGTATACGGTTGCCGATGCACACCGCCTCTCAGCCGCTAATAGAAGTATTAGAAGCAATTTCCGACCGCTGCTTTTATTCGGCGCTGATCGCTATACCAAGTCCTCAAGGTTGCTACACACGGCGAAGCTTACGCTGGCAATCTTATACACGCACAAGCTCACGCACGTACAATATACACGTACAAGCTCACGCACGCACAATATACGCGCACAAGCTCACGCACGTACAATATACACGTACAAGCTCACGCACGCACAATATACACGTACAAGCTGACGCACGCACAATATACACGTACAAGCTCACGCACGTACAATATACACGCACAAGTTGACGCACGCACAATATACGCGTACAAGCTCACGCACGCACAATATACGCGTACAAGCTCACGCACGCACAATATACGCGTACAAGCTCACGCACGCACAATATACGCGTACATGCTCACGCACGCAATATACTACGTGGGGCACGGTTATGCAGGGAGTAGCTGACACAGAAAATAGTCACACATATATAATATAATACGCGGTCACGGTTATGCAGGGAGTAGCTGACACATTTACAGCTTATACACAAACAGGCTTACACACATACACACTTACACACATAGAGGCTCACGCACATACAGGCTTACACACATACACACATACACACA